GTGTGTGTGTGTGTGTGTGTGTGTGTGTGTGTGTGTGTGTGTGTGTAAATCTGTCCGTGCAGAATTACAGCTCAACCCAGGACTGAAGGTTCAGGTGCAATTCAGCCGTCCTGAAGTTGTTGTTAATCTGCTTGCGGACAAGTGATGGAAAACCTTCAAAAATAATATGAATGTGCTGTTTTCAGGGTTTTAAAAAAACTTTAATTATAAAGTTGTATTCTTCTTTTTAAGAACGTGCTATCTGATTCATTAGTCTTTTTTATGAAGCTTGAAATTGTTTAAAGGCAATTTAAAAAGCTTCAGTGTCCCTTTGAATCTGTGTTTTATTTGAATTTGGGTTTTTTAAACATTTTATCATTGAAAGCTGAATAATTATAATAGACTTTCTTCTTCAATGCATCTATATTTGACATTTAAATTTTTTTTTCAAAAGACTAATTTATATTGGTGCAAACAGTTAATACTGGGTATTAAGCATATTGTCATTTTAGTGAAACTTTGTTGTGTTTTCCTGCCTTCTTCAAATATTACAAAACCTGGCTTGTTGCCAGTATCATAGTTATGTATAGAGGAAAGGAAACAACTTAGATTGTACTTCTTTGTTTACAAACTGCAATAAGATGTTTGGAAAAGACTTTGAGGTGTAAAAACCTTGTAAACGATGTGCAAATCCATGAATAACTGAATGTTCTTAAACATTTAAGCTTCAAACTCAGCATGAGCAGGTACCTTTCCTGATTTTAAGAAAGCAGGAGAATTTACTTTGGCAAGAACAGGTTGGTTATTGAAAAGGTCATAAAGTAGTGTCTTGCTGGGCTGTAACTGTTGGAGGCTAGTTGGTGACTCAGATTTAAAAGAAAACTGGAAAATGTTTAGTTGCAATGTCACGGCATTCTGAGTGGACGTTCAGAACTCGAGCAATAAGATTGTGACTCAGACGAGGTAATAGAGAACTGTGCTGAACGTTTCAAGAGTTTCTCAAACGTACACCAACTATTCATCATTTTAATATCCTACCTTTCACTGTGAGGTCTTTAATAACAATGATCCCCTGTGGATCAGATTTACTGTTGATTTTAACAATTTTAAGATGTTTTTGTAAAGGAAATACCCTTTGCTTGAGTTAATTGTTGTAAATAATATCAGAAATGACCTCAAATAAGAACAGTTTGTCAGCGATGTTCTACTTAACTTTCACTTTCATCTAAAACTCCATTAGTTTGCTTAATCTAGCTGAATTTCTGACAGTTTCTGCTCAGTCTCCCAGAAATAAACCATCTGCTTTAAACCTTTTAAACCATCTTTTCTTTTATAATTTGCATCAGGTCCAGTGGGATGCCCAGTGCAGTTTTCAGCTTCCTCTCAGGATTCATATGGAAGCTTTAGTTACTGGGTGTTTAAGACTCCTCGTTTAAAGTAATTAACTTAGTTTATTTTTTTAAATATTACTTAGTTATAGCTTTTAATACCTCATAACAGCATAAACCTGGAAGTCCAGTTTTCCTCTCTTAGCCCGTTTTGTCCTGTGAAATCTAAAAATCTTCCAAGTAAAGACGTCAGAGTTTTACGATAGAGGTCGGAAAGTGTTTATTTTACCAAGAATTATTGCCAATTTTACCAAAGGAAATTATCTGCATACTTGACTTGGGTTAAACAAGTAAGGACAGTTATTTTTAAAGGCTCCTCTACGACATTGTTTTCCTGTGAGATGGCCCGATATGAAAACACCCCCCTTACACAATGAAGGGAGGATTAAACGGAGACTTTCCAGAGAACAGATCAAGTCTGCAAGTTTACTGTGATGGATTATCACACTGCGACAATTCTTAAGTCTGAAAAGTTGCTTTTGGTAAAGTCAAAAGAGAAAATGGCTTCTCTTGCAGTTAAGAATATGGGCATCTGTTGTCTCCGTCTGCTAAGATTTTACAAACAACAGCGCAGAGTAATGACAACAATTAGAGGAAGCCAGGCTGATGCACTCTGAGAACACGTAATGTAGAAAGCAGACTTTAGAGGAAAAGTGTGAAGATGCAGATTTTTAAAAAATGTACATATGAACATTTGTGCACAAACTCCATGCAGATCAGCTTGACTGTTTGTTCCCTTCGGTCTCAGCTGCAGGTTGGGAGTCGCTTCCTTTAAAAATAGAGCATCGTTGACCCACATATCTGCAAAGATCCCTTGAGTTGGTTATTAGGTTTATTATGGAGGTTATCAGTCATCACAGTCTTTGGTGTCTGATGTCGAGCAGGCGTGGCCACTGAAGACCTTCAAGTCAAACCAAATTGAAAATGAGCTTCTGGTGTTTGTTCAAAGGTGAAAGAAAAGACGCGTCTCCCTCGTTTGACCTAATAATTTCAGACTTGGTTCATTGAACACTAACAGTTGATCTGTTTCTTTTTGTCACATTTCAAGCATCGTGGGATGTTCTGTTGTTATTTGGGTTTTAAATAGCCTCATGCGGAAAAATCAGAGCCCTCGTAGTGTTCAAAAAAAGGTCATCAAACAAAAAAAAGGGGGTTGTTGTTGGAGTGTCCTCTAACGTTGCTAAATTTACGCTCATTGTTTTTAATTCAGGTCCTTTCGGAGAAGCGTCAAACGGGAGGCGACTTCCTGGGTGTTAGTCCTTTGTTCCAGATGTCAGAGAACAGAGAGAAGCTGCACCACTTCATCTCCCAGTACCTCTACAATTAATACAGTTAAGTGTGACTCAAGGCCTCAGCTCTGCTTTGTTCTGTTGCAAAAATTGACCTCGTTTTCTGTTGGTGTCAGGAAGCCTTTGTTCATTTTTTAAAGAGACCCACGAGGAGTTAGGATGCTTCTGCCTTTACGTTCATTGTTTTTTTATGATGTAGCTGTGATTTTAAGTTCTTTTGGTTTCAGAATTTGTAAAAAAAAAAAGTTTTAAAAACCCTGCATGAGAGGATGGTGAGGTCTCTAATCAGCTGTTAAGACTTAGTTATGTTGTGATGAAAGCAGCTCAAGTTTTGTTTTCTACATGTGAACATGTCAAGACAAATATTCTCGCTGACAATAAACAAGTTTTCAATTGATGTAAAACAACTCAGACCTCTTTTTACAGCATAAATTAGGTATCTGACCACCCAGCTCATCACTCTGAGCAGCAGCTCTCCTCCTGGATGTAGATCACTTTCTGCTGAGTCAGACCTCAGGGGTGACTCTGGACTCAGACCTTTGGACATCACCGGGAGACAAATCGATGCCTCTTTATGATGGTGGGGACATTTTCTGACAGGCGTCGATGTTTCCCGTGGAGCAGCTGACCGTTTGTACAGTCGAGTCGGTGCAGCTGTTCCTCACAAAGCAAAGCTGCAGCAGCTCGACTCGTCGTGGGACTTTACCGCCTCCTGGTGTCCAAACTGGACTTCCTGAAACCTCAGAGGCGCCTGGAAGCAGAGTCCAGAACTACAGTTCTAAAACCTGAAGCAGATTTGACTTTAACTGGTAMCAAATCTAAAAATCATCTTTACAAAACATCTATTTAATAAGCTTATGATGGAGACATTTCCTCAAACATGCACCAGAAGAAATGATATTAAACACTGATGATGGTGACGCTGCTTCAGGCACGTCAAAAAAAAGGGTAAAATTTATTATATTTTTTGGACAGTGAAATTTTCAATTAAAACCACAAATTTCCCTGTAGTAGTACAGAATTTTATACATTCTAATCAAATTCATACATTAAAATATGTAAGAAACATCTTGTTGAAGAAACATCTGACTTGAGGATCAAATCATTTTTATTACATTTTCAACAGTTGTTGCTTCACATTAGTGATATAATAAAATGAAATTCCCCTCATGTCACAAACAATCTATATCTTTCACTGACTAAAATACTAAATTCTGATTCTTCATGAATTCCAAGTAATTTAATAGTCACGTTTCTGAAACACTACACAGATATTTCTTACTCAAATTTTCCTAAAGAGGCTTTTGTGATGTGTGTGTGTGGGGGGGGAGGGGGGGGGGTGAAAATCATAATTCAAAGTCATCAAATTTCCCTCTGGCAGTATCATTTTTATTATAATATTCTCTTATTACAAACAATCTTCTGTCTTCTAATGAGAAAAATGTGGTGTTAGTCCTCCTAGTAAAAAGATACCATTAAACTTAATATCCTGGCTGTTCGAAGTGACGGTAATTACTTTTTATTATCGTGTGTTAAAATAAGTTGAGAAGTTCGCGGCTTGTGTTGGGTTTYGTGAGTGGGCGGCGGCTGATGGACGCGCTCTCTGTGAGTCAGGAGGTTGAGTCACTAATTACAAAGTTTTAATGTAGTAAAAATACATTTTTTTCCACCTCATTAGTATTGTAGTTCTGTAAATAAAACAATCAACACCCGACATGTAGGTTCTGGCGTTATTTCTGCTGGTTTTGATCACTTGGAGAACAAAAATGTGGTTTAATGAAGAGCCGATGTCGTCATTTCAGGATTTAAACCACTCTGTTGATGATGGAGCCAATCTGGTCGATCTGGCACTCCACCACGTCTCCTTTCTGAGGGGGGGAGAAAGAAATGAAATTACTTTTATTCCACTGACATTCACAGGTTTTGACACTTGTGAATCAATTTGATTTAACAAACAAACAGAAAATAAAGTTAGAGGTGAAATTATTTTGGCTCAAATAAAGCTTTAAATAAAAAAACATGATGAGTAAAGAACGGTACACTCTCCACCCTTTCTAAAACATTGTAACCACAGCATTCATTTTGCTTATTAAATATTTTTTAATACATCCATTAAAATGGCAGCACGTAAACCAACACTGACATGTGGAGGGGCAGGTGTTCCTGTGCTGGTTAGATTAAACAGACCTCCGCTGGTCTGCATTTCACTTATTTGCCCGTTCCTGTGTTGTGTTTGCCTTGGATAGATGTTTCGGGCAGCCCCACCATGACGAGGCGATCCGAGAAGAGTCCAAGCGAGTCGTGAGATGGGACAGGGACAAACTGYGATTCTTGCCTCGTCAGCTTTTTTTTTAAAGCCTCTGCCTTAAAAAGAAAAAAATCTAAAACAGTCCAATCTAATGGGTAAAAAATGAAAAGTAGGAGAGGAAAAATCTGCAATGATTTTACTAAGTTTGATATTTGATATAAATCCATGAAAAGTGATTTGAATCATGAGGATAAAATGTTTGCTCTGAGCTTCAGACTCTTTAAAACAAGTCTATTTTATTTTAAGGCAGATGTTAAGTTCATCATTTTGACTGAAATGGTTTATAAATTTATTCAACAGTGTGTGAAAACACAACTTCCTGCATATAAAAGACTTTCAACTAAAAATACGACCTCGAAATAACCTGAACCTAAAGTCAATTTCCATCTGAAACACATTTTATCTGCAGCGTTTTAGAATGTGGTTAAACTCTGCCAGTGAAATGTTTCCTTTGACACTTCAAAGTACTAAAACAATCAATCCGCCTATTTAAAACAACACAGCAACTCTTCAAAGTCAGCTACAGTTCCCTGATTGCCCTTTACTAAGAAAAACAAGTTTTGATTTGTCTTTCCTTGAGTAATTTAAATAACTGATGAATATAAATTGTTTTAACTCTTTAACGGAGCAAAACATCAGGTTGATTGGAGAGAATGTGTAATCTGAAGTTTAGAAACAATTAGCTGAGACTTTTTAGGATCTTATGATTTAAAAACTGCCCTCAAGGTAATTATAATCTGAGACCTTGAAAGTTTCAAGAATTTTAAGAGTATTTTTGCAGAACTCCTTTTTATTTTATTTATTTGAAAAATGATTCAAAGCAAAAACAAACCCTAATAGCTAAAACATATTTAAAGCCTTTGCAGATATAGTTTACCCCTGCACAGTAAGCAAGAGTCATTTCCACAGAACATGCTGCAGTTTTTTTATATAAAGAGACTCATAACTCTGCCATAAAAAAAGTTCTTCATTTTATTTTATTTTTTTTTTTGTCTCATAAGGAGCTTAATTGATCTCACAAATGTTCACAGTTTCTAAGGTTAAATGTGCAGTTTTAGTCTGTTACAAACTGAAATATTAGATGATATATTTTAAATTTTTGGTTAGTTTTGTTTGTGTTTTGAGTGAATCACCTTCAGAAAGACAGGTGGGTTTCTGAAAACGCCCACACCTGGAGGGGTCCCTGTCAGGAAAACGTCTCCTGGAGTTAAAGTCACAAACCTGGAGGAAGAAATACATTAATGAAAAAGAAGCAGCGTTAAAATGACCAGAAACCTCCCATCAAACAATTTCCTCTTTCATCTGTCACGTCACTGGAATAAAAAATAAGTTACAGTTTTTCTGACACGCCCGCTCTCTTGTGAAGACAAAACTTTTCTTCTTTTTTGCCCCCTTTTTTACATGAATGTGACCAGGCTTTCTTTATAAATGTGGGCACACTGCACCCGCGCAGAGAGATGCGGTTTGGTAGAAGAAGATCGAAGCTCAAAATCCTAACCTGCACCTGAAAACGACGTCCAAACCGTTGGTGAATCTGAAACGGACTTACTTTGAGACCCACGCGATCAGCTCTGCAGTTTTGAAGATCATCTGATCGGTGTTGCTGTTCTGGACCGGGTCTCCGTTAACCAGGCAGCGGATGCCCAGGTTGTGAGGGTCTAAAGGGACATGATTATATTTGTTTAGGTGTTGTGTTGCTAAAACCTGAAACTCCTCTCAGTATTCCAGCTTTGCTTTGAGCTCATGTGTTCTTGTCACACATGTTCAGAGAACCGTGGTTTTCTACTAATTTTAGCTTCAAGTCATGACACCAGAATTACACTTAATTACACGATTCACCAGCCTGCCTCACTCCTCCTCCTCCGCCTTCTCATTTCCTCTCACCTTTCACAGCATCGGCTGTTACTAAAGCCGGTCCGAGAGGGCAGAAGCTGTCGAACGTCTTCGACAGCAGCCACTGATTCCCGTTGCGCTTCATCTGCCAGTCGCGAGCGCTGACATCATTGGCCACAGTGAACCCCGCCACGTACGAGAGAGCGTCTTCCTCCTGATTTACAAGAGAGGAGAGGAAATGGCTTCAGAGAAGATGCTTCACCGGAGAACATGGAAGAGGAAGAGACGCTCACCTTGATGTGTCTTCCTCTGCGGCCAATCACAAAGGCCAGCTCAACCTCCCAGTCTACCTCCTGGAGTCAAACACAAAATGAAGCAACAAATGTGTTGTAATCCCAGATTATAAATACACTCCATAAAGATTAATGACTTAAACATATCCTCTTTAAAACATGCAGACATAAAGCTTACCAAATGAAAGTTTTGAGGTTTTTTTATTCATCCAGAAAAGTGAGACTTTATTTTATGTAAAGCACTTTTTACTGATTTTATAAATTAAAAAAAAAATAAACTGCAGCAGCAAAGAACATTCTAAACAGGTTAAATATGAAATCAGTTCAGGCTTTTTAGAGACTGCAGGTACAAGTCTAAAGCATGTGTCAAACTCAAGGCGGACCAAATGTGGCCTGCAGGTGACATATATGAGAAWAGTTTTTATATCAATGGTAAACTTAAAATTTATGTTCAATGCCACAACATTAACAAATGAAAGATAATACTTGTCCGGTCCCTGAGCTGTTGGCTTTGAGTAACTGTGGCCCTCTGAGCAATTTTGTTGAATTGACCTCCATTAATGTCTCTAAATGAGCTGCTTTAAAGCCAGCTTTGACCAAAAACTACATCTCCCATAATACATGTTGAAAATTCCCTGTTGGAAAGTGGGAGATCAGAATTCAAGACGGCAGCAACAACTACAACTGAACAGTGAGTAAAACTCTTACTTTAATAGTATTTTTGTATTATTTATTTGACATTTAGTCAGTCGTACACATAGTACTTTTCAGTGTTTATAAGAAGACGTGTTAAAACGCTGTTTCTATGCAGGAAATACCAGGTAGAGCTCAGTTTTTGCTCTTCAGTGCTCAACCGTAGCAGTGAGACGAAGAACGTTGTGTTGCATGTTTTGTTGAAGTTAAATGTCAAACATAAAAGTTAATTAACTGGAACTTTGAGGACCACCACAACGCTGGTGTGGCCCTCGGTTAAAATGAGTGTAAGGGTTGTTTTCACAAGTCTGCAGGGCTTAAAGTTCTCCGTCACCACGACAGAATTCCGTCACTTTGAATGTGGCCAGGACGGATTTCCATCACCTGTAAGTRGGGGGGAGACCCTCTGGTTCTGTTGCGGTGTTTTTAAAGCTGCCCAGTCGCGCCACTACTTTCAATATTCAATTACTAATATATTTGTACACATCTGAAAGTAGTTTAAAACTTACAGGTAAAGAATTAGACTACAGATATTTGTGTGTGTGTGCTGATCTGTCAGCAGAGCTGGACCTTTCTGTGTGTCAGCCTCTCTCTGAGCTGCGGGGACAGGTGACCGATGTTCACAGGAGGTTTATATTGATGATGAGCTACACAGCAACTTCAGTGCAGCAATAAGTTAGCTTAAAAACGTTAAGCACAAAGACGATCGCTAAAATGAGTTCACACACTATATTAAGTGACTGAAAAGAGGGAGGGGTTTGTTGCACATCAATGTCCTGATGCATCTCAGTAATCCAGGTAAAAAAATCAAAGGAAAAAAAAATTGTATAGGTCCTCTGGACGGGTTCTTCTTTAATGAAACGTTTCGTCTCTCTTCCAAGAGACTTCTTCAGTCTGAGAGTTTCAGGCAAAATTCAGGCATGAAACTCTCAGACTGAAGAAGTCTCTTGGAAGAGAGACGAAACGTTTCATTAAAGAAGAACCCGTCCAGAGGACCTATACAATTTTTTTTTCCTTTGATTTTTTTACCTGGATTACTGAGATGCATCAGGACAAACCTGACAGAGCTCACCTGTGAGGTGAAAACCATTTCAGGTGACTACCTCTTGAAGCTCATCAAGAGAATACCAAGAGTGTGTGAAAAAGTAATCAAAACAAAAGGTGGCTACTTTGAAGAACCTAGAATATAAGATGGATTTTCAGTTGTTTCACACTTTTTTGTTAAGTATATAATTC